TTATAATTCTATGACTTCTATGTTTAAAGTTTAAATCTCTAATGAATTTTGCATCAAAGTGACCAATTTTCAGAGATTAGATAAAGATCAAGGAATGCTCTTAAACTAGATAAATGTATTTTCATGTTTCCGCTGCAATGAAGTTGATTGTCTTCTAATTAAATTCGAACCAACGGGAGAATTTAATTTTGAGGAGCAGTTCTATATTTTCAAGATTGTTGAATTTCTATACGTTAATTCCATTTCTGCCCAACGGTGATTTGGAATTAATGTAGAAGAATGATGTTTTATTCTATTTCTGTCCAACGGTGATATAGAATAGAACATAAAAATTTCAAAGTTTAATGAGCATTATTGTTTAATATTTTTTCAGACAAAAGACCTCCATGCTTTTATTCTTGAAGGCAGTAAGAAAAATGAGCTGGGTACTTGTGACTCAGTTGATGAAATGTGTAAAGACAAGTTATGTATGAAAGAATGCTATTGTTTAAGGGACTGTGTTCTCTTTAAAGAATGGCTTCAAAAAAAAAGAATTCTAGGATATTGATAAAGAAAAGAGATAGATCAATGAGTGTCTTCATTAAGAAATGTCTTTTATGTACTCTCTGTGAAGAAGAATTTATTTTCAGTTTCACTTATAAGAGTTGTAAAAGTCATATACATGTTTAATTCGACCAACATTGGATTAAACATGTGTGTTAAAAGAATATTCGGATTTATTTTCGAATTTGATGATTGAACACGAGCCAATCCTGGCAATTATGTTCGTTCAAGAAATTATCTCGCATGATGGGAAAAGTTTATGATAGTACCCACATGGCGGGAGAGTTTTGGTATAGTACTTAACCCGTATGGCGGGAGAAGGATGTGATGACTCATGTGCTCTAAGTGTATCCCGCATATGGAGAGAAGTTTGGGATAACTCTTATGCTATCCTAGTATTGACCGTACACTCTGATTGTATCATGGACATTAAGTACTCAATGAGTTTAAGAACAAAATAAAGTTGCATGTGAACCAAAAGATAAGATTGATATGCAAGCGTGACTTGCAGAAGTATTGATAATAATAAACTATTTTGAGTTTTGAAGTGTAATGAGGAAAATGTACTTCTATACGAATTTTGTTTGCATGATGTAATCATGTGGATGAAGTAAGTAATCAAAGTTTCCTCATTCACAAGAGTTATGAATATTTCGAAATTGTGGTAGAAAAGTTCATACCACATTTCGAGGGGGAGAAATGTAAGATTAATTAAGAAAGACAATTAAGAAAGATACTTCCCCATACTTCAGATAATGCAATGCATACTATGCATAGAAGGTAAAAGTAATCTATAAAAGATGAATGTGATCATTGAGGGAGTAAGACGGTCATAATAACGATACCCCTAAAGTAAAGAAATAGCTAAATTCCTAGACCTTTTACAGTTCCGAATAGAAGATAGCATAGTCGGCTAGTATTTATACTGGACAAGTTCAGAGTTATCAAGGCAGTGTTAAACGCGTCATATGAGTTTTTATCAGATTAAACCCAAAATAAAAATTTGAAGATACACCATCTTTATAGAAGATAGAGTAATTTGGGGGAGCATGGTATGTACATACCTATGGCTTGAATAGAAGTGGGATTACATGTCCACTACAGTGTTTTAGAGCAACAAATTGCTTAATACATGTTGATGTTGTATGACATATACAACACCTGATGTTAGCTCTTAAAGAAGATAAATAAGTAAATACGAATCTTGTGATATAGAAGGCTATAGAACAATTGCCTTTTGGCCATAAAGAGTAACAATAGCCCCATATGAAAGAAGTGCCACGAGGTCCTAGAAGGTCTTAAAGTAATCAGATATTTCTGGTGACTAAGGAGTCAATGTTAAGAAAGAAGTTCAAATGGAGGGTAATTCCACCTCGTTTGAAAAAGCCATAACAGGTGTTCACTCGTCTAAATGGCAAGAAGCAAAGGAAGATGAAATGAAATTGATAAATACCAACGATGTTTGGGACTTAGAAGAAATTTCCAATGGAGCCAAAACAGTAGGTTGTAATGGGTCTGCAAGACAAATGTGACTCTAAAGGGAATATGGAAAGCTATAAAGCGCCACTTGTGGCGAAATGATTTACACAAAGAGAAGGAATAGATTATAATAAGAATGCAATGATTCTTTTAGAATCATAATGGCGTTAATGGCACACTACGATTTACAGTTACATCAGAAAGATGTAAAGACACATTCCTCAACGGGATTTGTATAGAAAAGTTTACATGGCATAACTTAAAAGGTTTTGTCGTGCAAGGAAAACAACGTAAGGGATGTTGCGTGAAGAAATCCATTTATAGATTAAAGCAAGCTTCAAGACATTGGTCTTGAAGTTTGACAGTACAATAAGAAAGTTTAGGTTTAAAAAGAATGTAGAGGATAATTGTATTTATGCAAAATTTAAACATGGAAAATTTATTTTCCTAATCCTGCATGTCGGTAGCACCTTACTCGCTAATAGTGGTGTTAATCTATTGTTGGAGAAGAAACAGTTCTTGTTCTCAAGTTTCAATGAGAATGATCTTGGTAAAGCGTCATTCGTTCCAGAAATTGGAACTTACCAAGACAAAAGGAAAAGGGGTATTAGAACTATCTCAAGTGTATACTGAGAGAACATTATAAAGAAATAAAGTATATATGTGAATAAACCTACGTCTGTTCCTATAGTCAAGGGTAATAGTTTTGGAAACTTTTAGTGTTCCAAGAACCAATGTGAGATCGAAAGGACGTCCTATATGCTTCAGCTGTTGGAAGCTTAATGAGTGCTTATAAGTAAGAACTTATCCTGACATAGTTCATGTATCCGGTATGTTTTGGCAGAAGTCTAGTCTAGATATAGATCACTGGAATGGAGTTGATAATGTTTTGGAATTGTGCAAAGATTTATAGGCCTCATGGTGAGTAAGAAAGAATAAGTACTCTCAAATAGTTGTGGGTACAAATGTTAAGTTTTGACGAGATGTTTAATGAAACCCACATAGTAGCTAACACTCGCAGTTGGAGTTTTATTGTGAAAAAGCTCCAAAGAAACAGTTATGGTGTCATCAAACATGCATACCCATAGTATAGCTTGTTATGAGGCTTAAGGACACGTGAAATGGTTAAAAGAACTTATACCCGAAATTGATAATGGTATACAACAGCAATAACCATTTAAGTAGTTCGATCCTATAACAACGGGTCAAGTGTGCTGCCAAACACATTGACGTTAAAGCTATACGTTGTGAAGGAGAAAGCCCGGAATCATACTAAAAGTATTGAACATATAAGTAACAAGCAACTACTTGCGGGTCCGCGTACAAAAGGCTTACCACCTAGTGTGTTCAGAGGACACACAGTTGACATGGGTTTATAGTATAGCCTATGATTTCCGGACAATAAAGGGTCCAAAAGTTAAAGAATATGTTTTAGAACATATATGTGTATTGTAGCTGTTAAGTCTATCGGCGATTAACCAAGATAATTAAGCATGCTCTATGTACTAATCTGTGATGGAACAAATAAAAGTGAAAGGGATTAAAGTCAAAGTTTAAAGTTAAAGTATGAGTTGAGATCAAGGGAGAGAATGTTAGAATTGATCTCATCCGTCTTGACACAACGGTCGAGACGGACCCCTTGACCACGTCCTGATCGGGGATGTCCAGCCATCTAGTGGCTAATGGGCCCTCGTCGCACAGTGATCTATAAAAAGGAGGTGGGGCAAACGGCTCTTGATACGAGGTTCACAAATTACCGCCACAACCCCACTGTCTAACCTTAGTCCGATCGAGAGGGAGGCACTACCAATGACGGGAAGCGCCACGCGCTTTGCCACCACCGCCACCAACGTCACCACCGCGTCACCAACAACTACACCGCCGACAAGCGAGAGCTACACCGACAAACCAGCTCCGAGGTACACCGATGCTCCACATCTCTCTCTCAGGAGCTCCTCCATCCCGAAGCAAGGTCTAGATGCTATTTAATCTCTTATCTCCTTCCCCCGAAGCAAGGTCTAAATCTGTAAAGATATCACCCTCGGATATACTCATACATGAAATCAAGTTGCACTTGCATAATACAGGGCGTACCTGTGCATCAGGTACAAAATCTGAGTTATGGGAGTACAATATTCAGAAAAATGTCATGTACAGTAACAAAATCACCAGGGTTTGAACTGTTGCCCACGTCTTATTGGACAACTTTTTTTGTTTGCCAAGAGCTAAAAAAAGTTAATGAGATTCGATGTTGTAGTTTGTGTGAACAATGGCACAAACACTTTGATTGCGTAGTTGATGTGAACCATGGCAAGCCACGATGGGCTTTTGCTCTAGTAGAGCTGGCTGGCAGGCTGTATTTAGAACGGCTGCAATGAATCACACAATCGGAACGGCTGCTCCTTTTCAGACAGAAACAGGATCAACAGGGCAATGAATCACACAATCGCCGAATGAACGATAGAGTAGAACGTACTATATTTTAAGAATAAATTCAAGTTTCAAAGTAAAAGAAGACACAAATTAATCAACTTCCAGCATAACTTAAGCACACCCAAAAGGATACTTGATAAGGTTCATAACAACCACACTTGGATAACCCAGACTACAAAACATCTCATCTCGAGAGCCATCAACATGAGGCCCAAAACGCATAATTGGCGGGTGATACAAGGCGGCCTGCTTCCGTTAATCTCCAAGCCAGCCTTACCACCACTTCCAATTCCCAAGCCGAAACAACCTAGGAACACAATAACACACACCAGGCTGACACCAGCACGATAAAACACGCGCTAATTCTAGGCCTAACGACTGGTAATTCCCAAGAGCCAAGGAGAGATGCACCGCTCATAAAACCATGGCGCCCCTCGGCAAGCTCCAATTGGGGAAGACGACTCTACCACGACCAACGAACTACTAGTACTGCTGCCACTGCGTCGACGAGACGCCGACGCTGCGGGAACGGCTGGGGGTGGGGTTCAGTTGAACTGGGCCCCGCTGAAGGTCTGGCCGAAGGACCAGCCGCGGGGGGCGGCGTTGTTGGAGACCACGGAGCGGCCGTCGCTGGTGGTGACGCGGAAGGAGAGCGCCTGCCCGTCGAGGAGCGTGTTGCTCTGCCAGTTCTGGCCCCAGTTGCGCGACAGCGCCTGCCACCCCGCGGAGCGCTCGGCCTTCACGGCGACCGCGTGCACATCGCCGGCGCCGCCCACGTTGGTTACCAGCACCAGGTTGAAGTAGGAGTGGCCGTTGACGGTGAACCGGATGCCGTCCTTCTTGTTGCACGCAACCCTGCAGTGCAGCACGTAGGATAGGAAACAAACAAGCGCGACTCAGCCAGATCTGCTCGAATTCCTTTCTTGTTTTGTTCAAAGAAAATGAAAAAAAAAATCGAAATTGGAAACAAGGAAAATTGTTGAATTTCGCCACGGACCTGCGGTAGGAGACGGGGACAATGCCGGCCCTGTAGAGCGCGATGCGCTGGAACACGGGCTGCGACATGTCGAAGTGGGCGCGCGGCGGGTTGCACCAGCCGCCGTCGTCGGAGGGGAGCGCGTTGTTGGGCGGGCAGAAGTTGGTGGCCGTCACCACGACGGAGCCGGGCAGGCACGAGTGGCTCCCGCCGCCCGCCGCGTCGCAGCGCACCTCGAAGCAGGCACCGCAGCTGAGGCCGTTGTTGAAGAGCGCCGTGCTCAGCGCCGCCGTGTTGGTGCCGTACCCCTGGCTGTAGAGGTTGCCGTACCCACACGCGCCGCCTGCATGGACGCACGCACGTTCAGATGTACCAAGAATCTCAGCACGGGACTACAATCTACTGACTAGTACTGCGAAATGTTCGAGAATGGGGTTCGCTCACGTACCCATGGTGCCGGACGCGTCGCCGCCGCCGTAGAAGGTGGCGTGAGCCGAGGACCACGCGCCACCTCCGAGCGGTGCGTGCCCGTGCGGCTGCGGCTGCGGCTGCGGCTGCGGCTGGGCGTGGTGGTGGCCAAGCCCCAGCCCGTGCGCGTGCGGCCGCAGATGCCCGTGGCCCAGGCCCAGCCCGCGAGAGAGGGCGAGCGGGAACAACGCGGCGAGGACCACGGCCGCGAGGACGTCTTGGCGAGGCGCCATTGGGTTGGGGCGGGCTGGGGGACGGCGGTGCGGAGCTGCGCACGGTGCGGCGCAGGAGCGGGCGAGTGGCTAGGGAGTGAAGTGAAGTTAGGTGATGTGGGGTGGGGCTGTGCGGTGCATAAATAGAGGGGGAGGCGGCGGAAGGGTTTCAAACCGCCGCGCGCAGTGCGCGTGGTGCCGGGGCGCGCAGGGCGTGGGCGGGACGGTGGTTGCGGGGTGTGGGGCTGGGCGCGCGGCGGCCTGCGGGACGGAGTGGCGTGGGCCTCGCCATGCCCTGCAAAAGTCGCTCAGCTACCGCGTTGGGACACGGGTTTTCTGGCGGGCACCCTTTGGAGGCGTGGCAGGCGGGATGAAACGGGGAAAAAAAGGTTGGCGCCGAGCGAGCGGAGGACGACTGGAGGAGAGGTCGATGAAGACCGTAGCGGTGACGGTGCGGCGCGGCAGCTTTGGAAGTTGAACATCAGGCGCGCGGGGTGGTAACGGTGGCCCACCGTTCTGTTGCTCCACTGAATTCTCGTGCACATTTTCACAACGTTAGGCTAGTGTTAATCAGCGTGTTTGCTTGGTTTCCGCCAGCGTTTATCATATGTATAATTTTTTTTTTTCAATAAATCAGCACCAGTCGAACTTATCAGTCCAGAAACCAACCAGCGAACAGACTGAATAAGAGTTTCATCTGCATAAAGGTAGTCTCAATAAAAAAAAGTTTTATAGTCATTAATTATGTTGATGTGCCATAATATTGATGAACAAGGATATGATAAAAATTTTATAGGGAGAAAACTTATCTATATTATTTTCAAAATACGGAAATCTTTAAAACATTGACCATGAAACCTTCGCGGGACTGGTCTGACACCTTTTGGAACGTAGGAAAAACATAGCTCCCGACAGCCTTGTTCGGTTGGCTGGTTCGTATCGTTGCTGGTTTGTTTATGTGAGAGAGAAATACTGCTGACTGTTTATATGAATAATATTCCAGTGAGGGGCTGGCTAGCCTGTCCCAGCATACAAGATTATTACTCTTGTTAGCTGGTTATTAGCTAGAGGTAACTATTAGTAGAGCTAATTCTTAGATGATTAATAATTAGCTTGCTAAAAATAAGTTCTCTGTTGTTTATATTAATGACTAAGGACAGCCATCATGCTTGCATGTGCAGCAAATGAGGTATTTACTAATTCCTACGGCAGTGTCATCTCGTTAGAGCAAGTATAATAAGCATGTTTAGCTAGGCCCTTTTTTAGTGGCCGAATTTGGCGCCGCTGGATTTACTGTGCGTAATGTAGCTCACTGTAGCATTTTGTTTGTATTTGTCAGTATTTGGTAATAATTGTCCAATCGTTGACTAATTAGGCTCAAAACGTTCGTCTCGCAAAGTACAACCTAACTGTGCAATTAGTTTTTTATTTCGTCTACATTTAGTACTCCATACATGTACCACAAATTTAATGTGATGGAGAATCTTCTTTTTGTATAGTGCCAAAGTTGAGAGTTGGGAGCAACTAAACTAAATATTGAGTTGGATGAGAGGAGAGAGAGAAATGGGTTCTAAGCTTCCAACAAGCTTATGCACCCGAAAAAAAAATGTTGAGTTGGCCATATATTTATTAGGGGACAGCTAACTACTACATTGGTGGCCGGCAGATTGGGCCGCAAGAATCCGTACAGCCAGCGCTGTATTATTAGCTACATCAAACTTCACCACTATGGTGCTAATTCTATGTATATACTTTAAACATTTCAGAAACTTTACACATCTAAGCCTATGTTTAGTTAGTTAGGGGAATTTTAGAATTTAGCTACTGTAGCACTTTCGTTTTTATTTGGTAATTAGTGTTTAATCATAGACTAATTAGGCTCAAAATGTTCGTCTCGCTATTTCTAACTAAACTGTGCAATTAATTTTTTTTAATCTACATTTAATGCTCCATACACGTATCGCAAGATTCGATGTGATGACTACTATAGCACTTTTTTGGGAGTTCTTTTTAACTAAACACGGGCTAACAACTCTAGCAATTACTACTAGTACTAGTCTTATTTAATCTTTGTTTCAAAAAAAACTAGTCTTATTTAATCTAAATAGCCCTTGATTTGAACAGATTTTTGAGGGCAACTAGCACAGTTGTGTTACGGTGGGAATAGTACAGTGTACGGGTACTTGCCATAATTGCTAATCTCCAATATTTATTGCGCGCGAGGCCTCGTTTAGTTTCTCTTCTATAGTTTAGGGTCCGTTTGGTTCCAAATAAATTATTTACTTATAAGTTAAAAAATGAAAAAGTAACTTATTTTGCTAAACACCACCAACTTATAAGTTATCCCTACTTATAAGTTTTAAGTTGGTTCACTCCTACTTAAAACTTATAAGTCACTCTTTTTCGCGTGAGGCCCACACATTTGATAAACTTATAAGTCATCTACAACCAAATATGCATAACTTATAAGTCACTGATTTTCAGTCACCTGACTTATGGAAACCAAACAGGCCCTTAGTCCCTATCTTATCGGACGTTTGACGTATATATAAAGTATTAAATATAGACTAAAAAAAACTAATTGCATAGATTATGACTAATTTACGAGACAAATTTTTAATCCTAATCAATCCATGATTTTACAATATGGTGTTACAGTAAAGCTATAGTACATATGTGGTAATAACGGATTAACTATGTTTAATAAATTCGTCTCGTGGAGTACCAAAACTTATGTAATTTATTTTATTATTACTATCCGAACACTCTCACGTGACACCCCGATATGACATTAAATTTGACACCTTCAACTTTAGCCCCTAAATTTAAACAGTATCTAACTCATGTGGTCCCATTTAATGTGAACCCGAGCCGACTGTCCTTTCCGTCTCCACAAACTCAGAAGTGAAGTTGAAGAAGCTTCTAAAAATTTTAAAAAAACAATAAAGACTAGGGCACGATAAAATAGAAAAAATATTTGGAGCTTGTGAAAAATATCTATATGTTTCGAGAAATTAGAATGTTTTGTTACTTTTCTAGATTTTTTTTTGGAAAATACTTTCAATTTCTAAGAGCTAAAGTTCAGTTTTTCTCTGCAATTCAAATTGTGAATCGTTTTCTCTGGTACGGTAGTTTAGGAGGCAAAAACACACATTTTTCTCTGCAATTCAAATATGTGAAAGCCACCTAGCGCACGTCAAAATCACACATGCTACTATGCCTGCTTTTGCTACTACAACCAGTACGTAGTGTAAATGTTTCTGCGATTTTTCTTCAGGTGGTTGTTGGCCTTTTAAAAAAAGTAAAGTCCGATTCGTTTTAAGCTGGTTATTAAATTTGAAAGATCTCCTCGAACTACAGTACCAGATAACATACTTCCCTTCATTTTTGAGATCGGACAAAATACCCCCTTAACTCTAGTTTTAAAAGTTAAGGAGATAATGTTTTATGGTTTTAAAGTTAAGGGAACTATGTTGTCTGATATTATAGTTTCAGGAGGTTTTTAAAATCCAACGACTAGGTTACAGGTCAATGAAACGTTGACTCTTTTATAATAGAGTAAAGTGCATCGGCGATCTCTAAACTTGTACCGCTGTGTCATCCTGGTCACTAAACTCGTAAATCGACCGTTTAGGTCCTCAATCTTGTTCATCTGTGTCATCTCGGTCCCTAAACTTGTTCGGCTGTGTCATCCCGATCCCTAAACTTGCAAATCACCCGTTTAAGTCCTCAAACTTGTTCAGTTGTGTCATCCCGGTCCCTAAACTTGATTTTGAGTCTCATCTGGATTAAAACAGGGTGATCTAAAAACTTTATATCAAAAAATAATTCATAATTTTTTCATATGAACTCGAATAAAAAAAACTTTATATCAAAATTGTAGTCCTCGACACGATCTATGACTTTGTAGTTGAAAGTTTTTGAATTAAAACTGTTTAGGGTCCCTAAATATTATTGTATGTTTATAGATTTTGAAATTTAAAATTTAAAATTATCAAACAATCTTGTATATTGATATAGTCTATATGAAAGTTATAATTCTCAATATGATCTATAACTTTGTAGTTGAAAAGTTTTTTGTTTAAGTCATTTAGTGTCCCAAAATTTAATTCCCTAAACAGTCGCTTGTGCGGTCCCTAAACCGGACCCCCTTCCCTCTCTTCTTTCTCCGTTTGAGGACACGATCGTCCGCACGCCTCCCTCGTCGAGCGCACCCTCTTATCTCCTCTCCTTTATTTTCCATCCGCTCGCTTGTGCAGGGAGTACATGAACCGTCTTTGTATCCCATTCATGTCGCCTCTACTTTCGGTGTGTTGTGCCCCACCTCCATTCATCACTATAAGATACCCTTGGTCCTTGCTCTTCTTCTTCATCCCCATTCCCTCGCATTCGGAGTAGAGATACGAGATCCAGTCGCTAGTGTGAAGCTAGGTTCGTCAGTTCGAGGTGATGGTGTAATCTGAGAAGAAGAAAGGATCTGCTTTCGTAGAAGTTCAAGTCTACCGTTGGTTAGTCAATCTAGGATTCACGATGTTTTACTTCTCACTCTGTTTCTGGATCTGTTGGACCTACGCCATGTTTTGGATACTCATTATCTTGTTGTTTCTCTATTGTCCTCATCTATCTCGACTTCTAGATTAAGTCTCGGTTGTACCAGGTTGCTCTTAACCATGTACCCCTAGATCCCCGTGTGGTTTAGTATTCGAAGTCAGGTAATCTTTCGTGTAATCCCTGATCTACAAAATGTAATCACGTTTTCCCTCATCTAGTTCTTGCTTCGAATCTCGGGATGAGATTCTTTTTAAGGGGGTTGGTTGTAACACCCCTGGTGTTACGATCTCGTTTAGCACCGCGATTTAGGCCTAAGTCAAATTTTCAAAACAAGTTTCTCGGATTTTTGAATTATAACGTACTTGATGTGATAAGTGAATCCTGTGTGACTTAGTTTTGTGGACTCAAATAAACACCATAGTTAAATCACCAGTGCGTAAAGATATTTAGGAATATCAGACAACGATTCT